TAGCCAGTCTTGTTCCAACATCCATAGTCATTCACAGGAAAATAAAATCTCTATGATTAAGCCCATTATTGGATGAAGCATGTTAAAATTAAGAGGATTCATGGCAGGTCAATGTGTACCTGTGTGCTACAATAAATTCTTCAGTGAAGTTTGTGGTGTGCAGCTGGACTTTTTTTTTCTGTGAATAATCTCCAACATGCCATATTTTTTTTCACGGATTACAATACATATTGTTTTCCTGAATGATTCATACCTTCAGATAGGTCTCGCCTCTTACTTCATACTGAAATTCACAGTCTGTCCTTTTCAGAATGGATACAGTTGATTTACTTACATGTATTCGAAGTGCTGTTATATAGAAGAAAAAGAAGTGGTTAGTATATAGTTTGGCTTGTCATGTCAACCTTGCATGTCTGCCACTAGAAGACAGTCTGAAGACTATAATCTACCATTAGACTAACAAATGTGTTTCTGGCTGGCTATTTTATGTTGAAAGGTCCTTAGACTCTGAGTGATTGATAATGCATTGGTATGTATTTATGAAAAAGGTATACATAACCACAATAAACTTTCCTTAAGAAAATATTAATCACCACCAATGAAACAGAATCTTTGTACTCACTGCAAAATAATTTTTTCTTGGAGGTTATCAAGGGACACAGGATCAGTAGAATCAGGAACATTGAACTATACTGCAACCTTTAGGAGTTATTGGAAAATGACAAACTAAAAAGATGTTAACCAGCCTCCCACTCCCTTGATGCTTTAGTCTTTTTAGAAATTTTTTTATTAGGAGTAGATCATAAAGGATGGTGCAACCTGTTTCCCTTGATAAACTCAAAGAAAAGGATTTTATCGTGAGTAAAAACAAAAATCATATTTTTTTATTGGTTCACCAAGGGATGCAGGATAGGTAGAATGAGCAATATTGAAACATTCCAAAGCAGTCCAATTGAGGGTAGAGCAACACAGCAACACAACATTAAACGTCCAAGAGAAAAAATAAAAAGTGGAGAAACAATGGAGGTTACCTGTAGCCTAAATAACTGCCCACAGGACATTATGCAAAAAAGGAGTGAGAGGCAAGGCAATTTTTATTCTGAAATTATGTCAAAGGCACAAGGTAGAAATTTTACACAAACACATGAAAGCGATTTTAGTAGGTCACATTTGAGGAGTGAGTGATGAGGCACTTTTTAAGCAATAATTGCATTGGAGACAGAAACTTTACACAAACATGTGAAAGCTTTTATTTTAGCAAGTTGCATCAGGAAAGAGAGACCAGTAATTTTTTTATCCAAAAATAAAAATTACAATAGATTATGTCAGTGTCAGGTGCGTCCGCGGGCAAGCAGCACAGATGGAACCCGCTGGCAGGAAGCAGCCTGAAAAGTCAGAAGGCAAGGTAACAAGGGGCAATCCAAAGGGGTGCAATCTGAGGTCGAGGCAGGCAGCAAAGGGTCAGAGGTGAAAGTCGCTCCAAGGTCGGTACACGGGAAGTCAGCAGAGGGTTCAGGAAACTGGCAGCAAGGCACATAGGAGGGGAGCTTCGTATGTCACACCATGAGGTGGAATAACTCAGCAATAAGCCAGGGCTCTGGCCAGGTTTTTATAGCCGGGGGTGTGAGTCCGCCCCCGGTCACCGAAGCAACCAGGAGGCTTCCCTCCCCGAGAGCCAATGGCAGGCCAGAGGCGGTATGGGTGTGGGCTGGGGAACCTCCCTCGGCAAGGCCCACACCTGAGGCCTAAACAGGCGCATGTGCAATTGCCGTTGGAGCACCCGTGGTCCCAAAGAGAGGCCTGCACCCTATGCCGTACCCTCTGACCCCGTGGGGAGGTGACACCCCCGGCATCCTGACAGTCAGAGACATAATTACAGAGACATACTGAAGATCGCGCAAGCCTTTTGTTGCATTGGACTATGTGAGAGACACAAGGCAAAAGATACTTTTTTTAGTAGGCCGCATTTGAGGAGTGAGTGAGGAGGCACTTTTAGCCTGAAATAAATATTGGCTTGGAATAAGTCAGAAACACAAGATGGAAATACTACACAAACATATGTAAGCCTTTTTAGAAGGCTCCATTTTAGGAGTGAGTGACAAGGTACATTTTATCCAGAAATAAAAATTGCCTTGAATTAGGTCAGAGAAACAAGGCTCAAATATCACACAAATACGTGTAAGCCTTTTTAGTAGGCCAAATTTGAGGAGTGAAAGAAGAGGCACTTTTTAAACAAAAATAAATGGCCAATGACATTGGCAAGAGATAGTAATAGTGGCAGACCAGCAGCAGCAGGAGATGTTAATGGATACAGGCCAGTAGCGGTGGCAAGAGATGGTAATGGTGCAGACCAGCCGCGGTGGCAGGAGATGATAAAGGTGGAAGGCCAACAGCGGTGTTAGTAGACAGTACTGCTGTAAGGTAAATTAATGGTTTGGGGGGGGGGGTCAGCTTCTAAGAAAAACATTTAATCAGTCACATCAGCTGCAGTGGTTTGGTAGTCAGCACTGATCCATGACTGGCTCATTTTCATGAAAGGTGTCTGGGGACAGGTGTATTATTTTTCCCATCACAAAACCACCCACTACATAAATGTTGATGGCAAATTTTTGGCCTCCTTTGTGATGGGAGGATGAGCTCTGGCATTTTCCCTTTGTAGTGTGGATCTAAAAGGGTTGCCAACCATTAATGGTCCTTCTCTTTGATGGGCTGAATTCTAGTGTCCTTGGGTAGGCACACTGTAGCATGAAAGAGGCCATCTACCATAAATTTCCAGAGGCAGAGGAAGTCCTTACTGTCACTGAGAGTAATGGTGTCGCATCACTCCAGGTGTTTGGGAGGGGTGAAATGTTACCATGGAAGCCTTCCCTATGTTTTCCTCACCCCATCCCTCTTCCTCCATCTCATTGTGCTCCTCTAGTGACTAGTGCTGCCTCACAGGGATGGAGTCAGGATAAAAGGGGGGCCCTGAAATAGCAAGAAGTCCTCCTCTACCTCCCGCTGCTGTGCCTCCAGTGCCCAGTCTATTACACTATGCAGTGTGTGCTCCAGCAGGAATTTGAAAGATATTGTGTCGATGACCTTGCCTCGTCATGGCTCACTATTCTGGATGGCTCTTTCAATGGTGCAATGTAGTACACACGTCCTGAATGAAGAGCCACATATCATGCAGTTTGCAGGCAGTTGGTGTTGCAGCTGAATTTCAGCCTAGAAGTGGCTTGGTATGACCAGCTGAAGTGTCCGCAGCAAACCATGGAAGCCAGGGTACCAAACTGAAATCAAGGGCAACACCAGACTGAGGACATGTGACAGACAAGGTACATCTGTGAACTTTCCCTGGCAAAGGGCGGACAGCATTTTGCTGCCATTATCACATATGGTCTTTCCTGTCACAAGATGGCAATGGGTCAGCCATCTCTCAGCCTGCCCCTGAAGAGCTGAGAAATCTTCAGCCCCAGTGTGGCTTGTGTCCTCCAGGCTAACCAGCTACAAAACAGCATGGCAGCCATTTGCATGGGCTGTTGCGTAGGCCCTTAGTGGCTTCTGCAGGATTGGAGTCTGTGAGGATTCATGGGGTGAGGCCAACAAGGAGGATGGGGTGGCTGAGCTTCACCATCCCCAAGTAGCATAAATTGCTGCCATCCATCATAAGATTCTTCCAAATGATGGGAAGAAAGGAATTAATGGACTCCAGAGCCAGCTTCCTGAGCCACTAAGCCTGGACCTTGGCATCAATTGAATTGGCCTGTCCAGAGACAGGGCTGACTTGTCCCATGATTAAATTGGGTGAAGGGATGTGCCTTCAAAGGAAGAAGGCTACCATTAGTACTAAGACTCTCATGCAGAAGCAGAGAGTCAGATGGCTTCTGAACTGAAGAGTTTAAACCTGAGATGGAGACGGGGATCTAAAGTTTATCCTGTGAAAGAAAAACACTGACCCGAGATACACTATATTGGCAAAAGTATTGTGACACCCCTCCAAATCATTGGATTCCGGTATTCCAATCACCTCCCATGGCCACAGGTATATATAATCAAGCACCCAGGCATGAAGACTGGTTCTAAAAACATTTGTGAAAGAATGGGTCACTCTCAGAAGCTCAGTGAATTCAAGCGTGGTACCGTGATAGGTTGCTAACTGTGCAATCAGTCCATCCGTGACATTTTCTTGCTACTAAATATTCCACGGTCAACTGTTAGTGGTATTGTATCAAAGTGGAAGCAACTGGGAACAACAGTAACTCAGCCACGAAGAGGTAGGCCGTGTCAAATGACAGAGCAGGGTCAGCGCATGCTGAAGTGCAAAGTGCGCTGAAGTCACCAACTGTCTGCAGAGTCAATAGCTACAGACCTCCAAACCTTATGTGGCCTTCAGATTGGCACAACAGTGCGTAGAGAGCTTCATGGAATGGGTTTCCATGGCCGAGAAGCTGCATCCAAGCCATACATCACCAAGTGCAATGCAAAGCGTTGGATGCAGTGGTGCAAAGCACGCCACCACTGGACTCTAGAGAAGTGGAGACATGTTCCCCGGAGTGACAAATCACACTTCTCTGTCTGGCAATCCGATGGTTGTGCCTGGGTTTGGCGGTTGCCAGGAGAACGGTACTTGCCTGACTGAATTGTGCCAAGTATAAAGTTTAGTGGAGGGGGGATTATGGTGTGGGGTTGTTTTTCAGGGGTTGGGCTTGGCCCCTTAGTTCCAGTGAAGGTAACTCTTAAGGCATCAGCATACCAAGACATTTTGGACAATTTCAACTTTGTGGGAACAGTTTGGGGCTGGCCCCTTCCTGTTCCAACATGACTGCGCACCAGTGCACAAACCAAGTTCCATAAAAAGACATGGATGAGTGAGTTTGGGGTGGAAGAACTTGACTGGCCTGCACAGTCCTGACCTCAACCCGATAGAACACCTTTGGGGTGAATTAGAGTGAAGACTGCGAGCCAGGCCTTCTTGTCCAACATCAGTACCTGACCTCACAAATGCGCTTCTGGAAGAATGGTCAAACATTTCCATAGACACACTCCGAAACCTTGTGGACAGCCTTCCCAGAGGAGTTGAAGCTGTTATAGCTGCAAAGGATGGGCCAACTCAATATTGAACCCTACAAACTAAGACTGGGATGCCCTTAAAGTTCAGCGTTGAGCGTGTAAAGGCAGGTGTCCCAATACGTTTGGCAATATTGTGTATATCAGGGAGCAGACCGAGATACTCCACACAATGAGTCAGTTCCAGCGATGATTTCTGAAGGTTCAGTATCTACCCGAACCTCTGTAATGTCTGGACCGTTAGAGATACTGTATGTTGTCAGAAATAGCCCTTGTCAACTGTTCTCTAAACAAAAGGT